GGTCCCCAGCCCACCTCCCTTTCCGCTACCCAAAACAAAACCCAAAATAAAATCCCCAAAATAATGTTCGACATCTTTGGCAAATTGGCACCGCTGTAATTACATTCAAATATTATAACACACAAAAGCAACACACAGCACTAAGGAAAAAACACCAAGATTTCAAGTTTGTTCTTTTCCTACTAGAAAAAAAGAATACAAAACATACACATTTTAAGAAGCATTTTTTCATCTGTTTTGCAACAGATGTTATCCCCTACTTTCAAAGGCAATTCAACTGTTATTTTTAGGATTTTTTTTTTTGTAAGTTATTTTTTGTTTGTATGTACTTCTGAAGGTGAGGAGGCATTTCTTTTTCTCCCTCTCTTTCTTTTTCCTCTCTTTTTAAAGAAGTAAGGTTCAATGCAGGCATTGCAGACTTTGGTGGATACAATACATATGTATTTCTTTGATGCTAGAAGTCCCTAATACATAGTTGTTTGTCTCTAAGAAAAAAAAGTTTGTCCTTTTTTTTCTTGGAAAGGAATTCCATTTGCAATGAAATGAGTTTCTGTAATTTCAAAATGTACAAAGGGCACTACAGAAAGTGAAAAACCAGGACAAGATTCTTTTCCCGCAAGAGGCTGAGCAAATGGAAAGGCAGGTCTAAATGCCCACTGGCCATTTTTCCCACCTAATTTAGAGAAGGCAGGGCCAGAAACCTTGGACACAGGGCTCTGGCTGGGTGGGGTCTGGGGCTGATGCAGGACTAGGATCCACCTCTCCACACCCCTGCAAGTTTCTGAGATACTCAACATACTGAGATACTCACACTGTACACATACAGGTGTGCAGACAGAAACTGCTGCGCGCATGCCTGCTCGCCCAGCAATGCTGAGCTGTGTCCAGCTCAGTCCTTTCAGTGTGGCTCCCCCATGCAGCTCCTGCACTCTGTGCGCCTTTCAGGGACCGGTGAGGGAGGCCACTGCTGGAGCTGACACCTGTGCCAGCTGTGCTGCCAACGTGAGCAATCCGGACACCACGCTGACATGCTTTTCACTCAGCATTTGCACGTCAAGGCTCATTAACTCGACCAAAAAAAGAACACCAATTGCTTTTGATCCTTTCAGATCCTTTTGTTTGCCATCCTGTGGCACCATGTACCTGCGACAGGAGCAGATGTGAGACAGGTCAGGGCCCCCAGCCTCGTGCTGCTGCTGAGCACTGTGCCTGCAGCGCTGGCTGCGAGCGCCTCTGCCAGCGCAGGCTGCCTGGCCCAGCCCTGCCCTGCAGCCCCACACGGGACCCCCACGCACACTCAGGACACTGCAGACAGCAGCTGCTGCTCAGCTCACATTGCATCCATGAACCCAGAAGAAAAAACAGTTTTTTCCAGAATTTGCTGGGACAGAGTCATGGGGTGGGTCAGCCTAGTGCTCTGCTACCTCTTGGGCCTCATGCTTCCTAGTGGCACATGCATGCAGAGAAGAGCATGGTACTGGGAGCTATGCTGGAGCCAGTGACAGCTACACAAATTGACTCTAGTACAGGCCACAGCTCTTGAAGCTGTGGGTACCCACGTCTGGAAATAAACAAGAACATTACATGGCTTCCTTTCTCCTTCAAACTGAAGGATGTGTAAAATACATCAACTAAAGAAAAAGAAAACCAGGAATATAACCCCATTAGCTAAGACCAGCATAGCAAAGCATTTATCAACATCTGGTAACTGCTAAGACCTGGCACAGTGAGGCCATCACCCCTCCCTCACCCACCATGCTGCCATCTCCCATTGCACTGCCCTCACTGCAGAGCCAAGAGCACTCACTCACAGGGAGCCAAGGAGGGGTGACACATTGTGAGCTCCATGTACCCTGGTGCCATTTCTTTCCTCACCATCTCCTTCCCAAGTGCCTCGAGCACTGATGTTGTTGTACCAACTGCCAGTCCAATCAGAAAACTTCTCAGACATCGTGGAAAGAACAGTCACTCTCTGGCCCCATGACGCCAGAGCCCCGATTGTTTTCTACTTCAACAGTGATCAAAGAAAACTTCTGATCTGTTGATCCAGTCTTGAGACATCCAGAGCTCTGCAGTCAGTAGAGCTGCCTAACAGTAATATCTCCATAACTGAACCTTCAGACACAATGATAAACAAACTCTGTGTCCACAACATTTTGTGTCTTTTTTGTTGTCACAGTCTGACAGCATTTAACTGAAGGTTTCCTCGACAAGTCAGAATTCCCCTCATTCATGCAATCCTGATTCTGGCCTCTACTGACTTAGTCTTACAGCAGCATTTTTCCTCTTCACCTTTCAGATTTAATTTCTTAGCCTGTGTCAGGAATGTATTTGATAAAATTATTGCTGGAGTGTCAAGTACTGGAAAATCCTCCATCTAACCAAACCTATAACAGAGTTCAGTGCTGAAACTGCCTGAAGGCACTTCATGGGGTTGATTTCTGCAAGGGTTTAGTAATGATTCACTGCTCCACAGGGCATTGAAGTAAAGGATTAGCAGGGCACCCCAAACCCCAGCACTGGACTGGCTGCCTCCCCTCCCTGCAGCCCCTAAGGATCATTTGCTTCCCATCTCCAAACTGTGAGGCCACAGAGGATGGATGGAGGCAGGCAATCCTCTGCCTGCCCCAGATGACCACCTCCTACCAACAGTGGCTTTCAAAGATGCTCCCCGAGGAGGAGAATTCCCACTAAGAAGACTATGGACAGAAAGCCTTTTTGAGGAAATCCGTTCGTAAATCTCAGGTGAAATATTCCCAAAACCAGAAAGTACTGTCAGGAAGTGCCATTTCCAGCAGCATGGCATGAATACTCCGTGGTCTAACTCATGCTGGCTGTTGCTGACAGAAAGATGTCCCAGCAGATGTGAGTGAGCCACGGCTGCCATGTTTTGGGAGATGGGTCAGGCACAAGTCCCTGCTTCACATGGGCTAGGGTGGGAGTTTGGGTGTCCCCTCAGCAGCTGCCCATGCATCCAGAGTACCTGGGATGGAGCCACCAGTGTGCCTGGCAGGCCAAGGGCTGCCCTGGTGAAACCCTTGGGACCAGTCAGGCCTGAGCACATTCACACATCCATCACCTGGCGGAAACACACCTGTCATGTCTTTCTAAAGTCCCCAGCCCAACTACAAGCACTTCTGGCATGAATATAGATATAACATCTGCTGAAATCTCATGTTTGATCCTCTCAACATTATCTGAATTAATGCAGGTCACCCAATTCATGCTGCCGAGGAAACAAGTAAAAGTGATGTGATTGCAGGAGAGTAGGCAGAGCGGGTGAAGCACCCAGTGCCAACGAGCTGCAGTTCCCTCACTGGGCACACACACTTCTTTAGCCAAGCCTGACGGTGTCACAACAGCTAGTGTAACTCAGCACACCTCTGCTCCAGATACATCACCAGCAATGGTGGTCAAACCCTTGTTTCTCATCTTTTCAGCAAAGGCACTGGGCAGACACAGCCCTTGCTGAGCGCACAGAGAAGGTGCGTGTGCTTGGAGTGGAGACAATGCACACCCTTTGGCCAGGGTCGTGCACAGGGTCCCAGGGACAAAAATGCCTTTCCAGTATTGTCCACGGAGTGAAAGCAATCATGGGGTATACAGAGAGTTATGAACCCAAATCAGGGCTTCAGAAGATTCCTTGTATAAATTTTCCATGTTGTTATTTGTCTTTTGTTAAAAACAGGTGTGTATCAATAATTAATTGCCGGAACAATAAAAGTAGCACTCATTTCACTGACAAGTTTATCACAAAACTTATTTCTGAGTTATTTTAAAAGACTCTGGCTAAAATCCCTGATGGGGTCTATGAACATTCTGCTGAAATGTCACTGAGCTAGTGGGACCTGGATGTCTCCATGCTGAGGATTGCAACACATCTGCCCAGGAAACTTGGAAGTGATGGCTGCATTTCCACACCACGAGAAGGTGCCACTGGAGTGGAGAAGGAATCTCTCAGCACATCAGTAGCCACTACAGATACAGATATGCAGCACAAGTGATGAGGTGGGAAGGGAAGAGTGAATAGTGTTAACTCAGCAGCTGCCAGAGAAACGTTTGTACAGCTGGAACCTGGTGAATACCTGCTTGAATGTTCCTCCACAGGAGTGCATCTCAAGTTTGACACCAACAGCCCTTCCTCTGCAGGCAAGCACCAGCACAAGAGCCCAGGCAGCTCTGGGTGGATGAGGATGGCTGGGCTGGGAGTAAGGAGGCTACAGCCAGGTCTGCATCTACAGGACCAGGAGGCTTCTCCATTGCCCTCAGGAGGGAAGGGATGGGGTCATGCCCATCACCTTTACGTGGCTGGGGTTGTCTGTGCCTTGGTCTGGGCTAGGGGAGGCTTCAGGGAGAGATCAGCAGCTCTCCTGGCTCCATGGAGAGGCAGTGATTGGTGGAGGTGCTCAGTGGTCATTCGTAGATGCTCTGCTCTCTTCATTTAGCCCCCCACAAGGTGCACATTGAAACGTGTGACTATTAGTGCTTCCTATTCAAGTAGGAGGGAAGAAACACAGAATTAGCAGGGCAAAAGTCCCCTCAGGCATGTCTGGACTACAGAATCTGCAATGCCTTCACAGAAATGTACAGACACCCCGAAACAAGAAATTTCCCTTTCTGCTTGGCTTGGAATGTGAGTGCAGCTGCCCTCATGCCTGGTACCCCCCACTCAATATATGCACTTAACTAAAATCGCAGCCACAGTATTTCTCTGCCTTCCCCTTGGCGTTTGCATGACTGGGATTTAGCACACAATCTGTAGAGATATATGTAAGGTGTCAACTGTTATTTAGGAATTCCTTCCTGGAATTAACTTGAAACAAGTAAATTTGTTCCAGTGTTTTGTATGATGACAAATGAACATAAATTAATATTAAGCAATAAAGTATCACAAAATTGCCTATGTCTTTCAGTTGCCCATGTGTTTGATACCAGCATATAGCATGATCACACACAACTGTCAAATAGGATGCTCTATATAGAAACAACATCAGCCCAAAATACAGCCACAACAAGTGTTAACCTGGTTCAAAGTTGCTTAAAGCTTACTGAGTTCTTTGAATCAGTGCACCAATTTCAAAACACTCTTTTGGATGTGTTTTGACTTCATTCTTGTACAGTGTTGCTGTTTATGCTTAAGCTACTCTTACAGTAATACAAACAAGCAAATATTTACAGTGGTGTGCTTGCATAAAGTTGAGCAGACTGATTTTTTTTTCTTTGCCACACACAAAAAAAAAAAAA